ATTTTATTTGTATGCGCTTTCGACATTTGAAAGGAAATGCTGTCGAAACTGTATGTGATGTAAAATGTACTCCAAGTAGAGATAGTTGGTTATTAAAGATACAAAAACTGAATAACAAACAAGTCTGTTGGTAACTTTAACGCTACGCCGCCCGCCTCGGCTGCTGAAGGCCAGAAGGCACGGAAAGCTGCGGCTTTGCATGAGTAGTCTATACTGGGGGTGGAGAATGGACGCAAAAAGCGAGTGGTTCCACCCCTTGGGACGAGGAGGATTAGGTGGAGGGACTTGAGGTAACCCCCCAAAACGCCTGCCCACTGCACTAACGGCTTCTTCAAATGTTACCTGGCTGTTACCTGAGCCAAGCTGGTCCCAAGCTGTGCTTCTGTTTCTTCATACTCTTCAGGCCTCTCCAGCCTTGCCGTCCAAGGAGCCGGAACAGGAAAGGTGGGCGAAGGAGGAGGCGGGGGGCAGGAAGGGGAGCCAAGAAATGCCGAAAAACAGCAAAAAGCGAGGGGGTCGAGAAGGTTTGGGCACAGGGAGGAGGATTAGGTGGAGGGACCCCCAAGACGCCCGGGCCTCTGGCCTCGGCGGAGAACAAACTCCATGTCAAAACCGATGGCTTTTCGACACATAACATAAACACATACCACCATTTCAGTATCTATCCAGAATATAGCTTTTGTTGGAATATCACAATAGGAGGACATAACCGCCCGCTGGCTCTTTGCAAGTCAAAAATAGGGACAGTACAGCACTTCTGCAGTGTCGAGAGGCGAAAGTGCTGTACTGTCCCTACTTTCTCGTCTTCAGGCAAGCAAAAATAGGGACAGCACAGCACTTCTGCAGGCTGGACGGGCGAAAGTGCTGTACTGTCCCTATTTTTTGCTTGCCGGTACCAATAAAGTGCCGTGCTTTCCTAAAAGCTTTAAAAAAACAATCTTTTGGGTACTGCCGGGGGCTCCAGGGCTCGTAGTGCTGGAAAGATTGTTTTTTGTCGGTTCTTTCGGGACAGTATAGCACTTTCTTGGTACCTGCAAGCAAAAAATAGGGACAGTACAGCACTTCTGCAGTCTGGACAGGCGAAAGTGCTGTACGGTCCCTCGTATTTGCTTGCCGGTACCAATAAAGTGCCGTGCTTTCCCTAAAACACCTAAACAAGAACAATCTTTTGGGTACTACCGGGGGCTCCAGGGCTCGTAGTGCTGGAAAGATTGTTTTTTTTCGGTTTTTTCGGGACAGTAGAACACTTTCTTGGTACCTGCAAACAAAAACATAGGGACAGTACAGCACTTCTGCAGTCTGGAAAGGTGAAGTGCTGTACTGTCCCTATTTTTCGTCCCCAGACAAGCAAAAAATAAGGACAGTACAGCACTCCTGCAGTCTGGAAAAGCGAAAGTGCTGTACTGTCCCTATTTTTTCGTCTTCAGGCAAGCCAAAATCGCGTTTCGCAGACATACACGCACACATCGCCTTAAGAACGAAGTCGGTAACACCAGAAACGAACCACCAGATCCTGGTAGTCCATTTCTGGCATCTGCATGTATACATCGCTGTGAGCCAGAAGTGGGAAACAATCGTTTTAACACGAAAACCCTCGGTATTTACAGCGTTTTCTGCATCTGCATATATAAGCAAGAGTATATATACGGAGTGAGCAGATTCTGAAGAGCCTTGGGGGTGGATCTTGGGGGGAGGGGGCGGGGGCGACCATGTATACATACATACATAAAGACATGGTCAGAGACATACATAGAAGTATCCATATACATAAGTACGTGTATCTGTATGCAGATGCATACACATGTGCATATATGTATATATGTGTGCACACTTTTGTACACACGTAGATAATATGTACACACACACACATGACTATGCACATGAGTACACACACACACACACATGTAGGCGTGTGTGTGTGTATATATCTATATATACATATATGTAAGCACAGACTTGAATCGAAGGGCGCGCAAACACACGCACACACACACACACATATGTATATATATATATATACACACACTTACGTACAAAGAGAGAGACAGAGAGAGTGTGTGAGAGAGATAGAGAGAAACGGAGACTATCAGAGTCTTGCAGGGTCTTCTGGATTCGCCTGGTCAGTTTAGGTACTTTCAGAATAAGGCTCTATAGGGTCAAGGGAGGGAAGTGTTCAAAGGAAGGACTCTGCTCGGCCGTTGTCAGGCGCATCCCGTCATCTTGCGAACATGACACTTACGAGAGTTTCGAAGCAGAAGTTGTTCTACAGAAGCAGAAGCCATCTACTTGAGTAGGCCGCGAGCTCGCTATGTGACACCATCGAACTCATTGCAGAATATGCTTGGGTTGACGATTTAGGGTACAGCGCACGTCACGCTGCGAAGTGAAGACGAACTATGGCCCACGTGATTTTGGTGCTCTCGCAGGACTTCCTCCATTTGGGCGATCAGCTTGGATCTACAAGATTTGCAGCGTTGTTGACTCGCTTTCCCACCGGCCAGGTGGCTCTTTCCCAGGAGCAGGATCCTGAATGCCCAGGAAAGCAGACCCTAAAGACTACACTCGAGACAACTAAGCCCTAAACACTGATCCTTAACACTAGACGAGAAATCGGACACACTGAACCCTAAACCCTCAATCCAGGCTCCCTAACCTGAACCTCTCTGTTGCTCTGCCGGGGTCCCTTCCGACCAGCCCTTCTCTAGATTGGCGACTCCGGCGTAGCCTCGTTTCGGGGAGGTCTGAGTAAGGATCTCTGGTTCGCGGCTTGGGTGTAGGGTTTAGGGTTCGGGTTTGAGGTTTAGGTCCCGATGCTATCTCCGGACTGCACAATCTCCGTGTACCTGCCGTGTACGGTCCCATTATCAGGGTGGACAATGTCACGGACTACGTAAGTTTTGGCAATTGCCGTAAACAGCTAAGCAGGCACATGATTTCCGGGCTGGAGGGTTCTTCAACTTACGGGTCTTGAGGAGCTGTTCAAGCAGGACGTCAAGTCCTGAAAATCCTGCCCTGCTGAAATTTAGACTCGAAGCCTCAAGTCCAACAAGGGTGTACGGAAGGCCGGAGACCCAAATCGTGCCAATTGCTGTTGCGCGCAGTTACAGGGTCCAAGAGGGGTGGGGGGGGGGGGGTAGGCAGTCGGCTTCAAGCCGAGTATGGAATTTGAGCCGCGAAAGGCACGGCACTGACCACCCTCTATCATCAGCCACAAACGGGCTGTGATCAAAATGCAAGTCCTCAATCCACAGCCACACCCCAATTCAACCCTAAACCCGAAAATTCTCAACCGTATCTCCGACCTTACTGCAGCGTGGGGGCAGTCATAAGGCACCTCGGTCGTCGTTGTTACGACCTCGCAGCCGCGCTCGTAGTTCTCGCAGCACCAGTCCTGAAATCAAAGTGCTAAGTCAAGGTCTACACTGGCTTGGCTTCTGGTTAAATTAAAGTTAAGGAGCTTATCTTAATACACTGTAAGATCCGCAGGGAATACATAAATATCGTTTCTTTTGTAGTTCCGACTAAGTTCTGCAGAAGAACCAGGCAGCTGCGAGAAAGCTGAAGCATGCTTGTCCATGCCCGCACGCCGAAGTGAAGAAAAGCAGCACAAGAAGATCATAGCAGAGCAGAGGGTAGCTTAGTACATACATATCATATGGTACAACATGTTATGATATGTCGAATCTAAGATACTAAGATGTACGACAATATAAAAAGGACTTTAACACAATACTATATAACGGGACCCAATGGAAAGAACAGCCAAAGCCAAATACGACATGGAATATACTATATTCAAGTAAAGCAAAGCCGAGCACAGCATGGCACAGTATATAATAATGCAGCGTAGAAGTGTATGCTATACTATCATACGAAACTTAAACCATTTCGTATGATACACCACAACGCAATGGAGTAGCATAGAGTGAAACAGAATAAACCAGAGACACATATAATAATACAACATGGCATATATGATCTGATATGGTACAGTATAGCTTAGCATAAGACATTATAACGCAGCCATTATAAGATGAGAGAAGAGAAAAGAAGAGAGTCGACGAGAAGCCAAGGGTAAACAGATGAAGACAGGATAATGTAACAAAGTGCAATGAAATATATTGATATAACATAGTATAATCTGATGTAAGAGAATGTCATTTAATGTACTATAGCACACATAACATACTAGATCTTCATATAAGCAACATAACATCATGTAGATTAGTACAATACCATATGGTACAAGTGCAATCATGAAATGCCTGTATACTATCATAGCTTTGCTGAGTATTATACAACTAATCTAAAATACTCCAAGGACCTAATGCAACACCATGTAATCTAATGTAATGGGATATGATACCTCGAAACACATGTTTGGTGAACATCACGGAACTATTATCTATGACATCATATAGTATAATATGACACCATATCTTAAAACATCATATCACACCATTGTATAGAGCGAAATTCAAGCATCAACCCTGGAAGCCCCAGACCCTCAAGGCACTTAAAGCTTCAAAGCGCTGCAGCGCCTAACCCTAACTACACCCTATCTAAAGGAAACCATCGAAACACACACGTCCGAAGCCCACAGACCCCAGCGCAATCAACGGGTCTGAACATTTCTTGGGTTTGTTTGTTTTCAAATCTGGGTACACGGCTAGGGGGCTTGGGATCTGGGGATTTTGACTTCTGGTTTATATGCCGCAGTATGTTGGAGTCAAGTGCCGAGTATGATTCGAAGTAGCGGACCCTTCGAGACGACACAGGACGCGCCAAAGAGGACAACCCATCCATACTGTGACACTGACCCCGGCCTTCTTGGGCTTGGACCAGCCAAGGTGAGCATGTTCTGGGCAGATGTTTGTGGTCAGCGGGGGTCGGAGTTTTGTGGGCGCTAGGCCATCAACGCCAGCTCATGTACCCTAGACTATATAAAAGGGAGGACAAGTCTAGGCTTCTATCCGAGCTGATCGAAATCCCTGAACGATGTGAACAAGCGACTAGCAAGGACTAATTAAGGAATACACGACGTCAAACCGCGGCCCTTCAAGGAGGGGGCTCTTCTCATCAGGGGTCTGCATTTACAAATCACACCAACGAACATGATACGACATGCGACGAGCAATTTGTGTCGCTCCCGTAATCAGTTCTCGACAACTTTGTGATCTCCTGATTATTGTGAACCCCGCTGGCCCCTCATGTTGAGCTTTTCGAGATTCTTAGATTTGAGTTTCGTGGTGCACTACGATTACTATAGACGAGTACTAGCTCAGCTATTTCCTACAACAACTACTAACTACTGCTACTGCTGCTCTGACTGTATATTTCACTACTAACGTGTGTGTGTGTGTGTGCGTATGTTGTTGTACTTCATCCTCTCTCGCTCTCTCTCTCTCTCTCTCTCTCTCTCTCTCTCTCTTGGTTACATACTATAATTGTTATGACTACTACGACTACGACTCACAAAGGAAGTGGGGGATGTGGGAAGGACCCGTCACCCATTGTGCCAGAAGGGCGGAGGAGAACTATCAAGGACTCGTCTCCCACTCTTCATCACCCGTACTTAAGACAGCGCATCTGGGATGCTACAGGCGCAGTTTGGGGCCCGGGTCAAACAGGTTTCGGATGGATTTTTAATTTCAGCTCATCCCGAATGCCTCAACTTGCAGCCAGGGACAGGAGTCTGGCAATGACGGTAGGTACGAGTACGCCCCCGCCCTGTCGCTGCTACAGGCGCAAAGTTCAGGTGTTTTGGGTTCTGTCCGAAGAACTCCACAGTCCTTCAAGATGGCTTCAGCACTGTAGGACATTCATCTGCTGCACTATTTAAACCCTCAACCCTCCGTCAACAACTTTACTTGATTACAGCCGCTCAACAGACCCTAAACCAAGCCTAAACCCCCGATCCAACACGACTCTCAACTCCATAGGCCCTACACTCTCGAAGCCTTATCCTCTCAAGGCTCAAGCCCCAGACATCCTAAACAGCTAACCCTAAACTTGCTAAAGACATCGAGGCACCAAAGCCAGCGAAGCAGTCGTACGGCAGACTCGTAGTGACCATGCAGCCCCTGTCATGTCTATCCGGATTTTGGGTCGAAGGTGGTTTGGGGGTTTAGGGGCTTGGGTGTGTTTTTGGTATGTAGGGTTTCGGACTTTGGGCTTGGAGGTTTGGTATAAAGGCTTACACATATTCGGGGTTTAGGGTTGGGCTTGGTTCTGGCGTTGGGAGGTTGGGTTTTCAAGTGCTTCTTCAGCGGTATTGAGAGAGTTTGAGGCAGGGAAATGATTTTCTGCTAACTCCTAAGGCTCCGGCTTATAGCGCTTTTGCAGTACAAATGTATGTGTGTATATATAAATATATATATGTACAGGAATGTACGGTACCAAAGCCACGATCTGTCTGCTAAGTCTGCCAGAAAACTGCGTGGTTCTATTAAGCCCAGGCGGTCATGGCCTTGTGAGCAGGTTGGGGGTTGGCCAGAGGCAATTGTAAGGATCGTAAGGCTGCTTCGACACTGGTCTTCTGGGTGCGGCTTGATGACACGAGTGCCCTAGCGAGTTCAGGCCTGGAGTTTACAGCTCAGTGATTTGGTCCACGGGAATTGGAGACCTGAAACGTTTGAACCCGACCCAAGCAGGGTCCCTAACTAGTTCTGACTGTGGCCTGCTTCCAAGTGTTTCCAATTCAGGCGTACTTGCTGGGCGCAGAGCTCTGTGTTTGCAACGGGGCCTCGGTTGAAAACCGCCCCGCAGGGTGGGATCAGATCCAGAATGGCACACCCTCAAAAACATTAAACCTGAAAGTCGTTGTCTCTGGAACGTCATTCAACGGCAGCGGCAGCGCTGGCCTTCGACCAGCTCGGAAGATAATCAGGGACAAGACTTGTCCGACAAAAACAGCAGTCCCCGAGTTTAAGCAGGTTCGTACATGATGATTGAAGCCTGTTTCTGCAATTACCACTTCTTTAGGCACACCTTGGCTTGGGTTTATGGATTCGGGTTGAGGGTTAAGGTGCGTGAGCGTGCATCCAGCTGACAACACAGCAACAGCACATAACAGCGGTAATGAAAAAGCAAGAGCAACATGCAAGATCATCGCACCCGGGATGGAATAAGGATAGCATCTGGCAGTAACACACCACAATCACACCACGATGACAACGGTGACCATGGAAGCGCTACCAAAATCCGCAGGTAAGGGGTTCGAGATGATCGAAATCTTTGCAACAAGGCGCTTGCTGGAATTTCAATGATGGAACCTGGAACCACAGCTCATTCCCCCGAACAGAACACCAAGACCACTCTATGATCTTGAATCTTAAACGTCTATTGCCAATTGCGACTTCATGCTGGTTCTTCAAGATCACGGTCAAAAAGCCCAAATCCCAAATGCCAACACCCGAAGCTGGCGAGGCAAGCCGGCTGTAGTGCTTGCAGCAGAACTGCTGCTTCAAGGTAGACCAACTTTCCTGCTCAGAGGATTTGGACCAATCCAGCCTTTTCCCAGTGTGGTTGAGGCAGAGAGAGAGAGAGAGAGATATATATATATATATATATATAATATATATATATATATAAATGATCCCGGTTCGGCCGGCCGCCCCCCCCCCC